GGTTTAACCGCGACACCGAGAAAATGTGCAGTGGCACACAAATACACCAAATATTTAGGGTTTCTCGTAGGCCAAGGGACCATCAGGCCCTTAGAAGATAAGGTTCAGGCTATCCGGTTATTCCAAGCCCCACAAACAACTGAGCAGTTACTATCCTTTTTAGGCTTGGTAAATTATTATCGACGATTTGTACCCCGGTTTTCTAAGCTGACGGCACCTCTCTCGGAGGCCTTAAAAGGGGCACGACAAAAAGTGGTAAAGTGGAACAGAATGATGTTGAACAACTTCCAGGCTTTAAAGGGGGCTCTGTGTGATGAGGTGATGATACATGCCCCTGACTTCGAAAAACCTTTTCATTGCAGACCGATGCATCATCGGTGGCACTCGGGGCCATACTGACGCAGCAGGATGCAGGAGTGGACTGACCTGTGGCTTATGCCAGCCGAAAACTGTTACCGGCCGAAACAAGGTACGCAACCATCGAACGGGAGTGCCTAGCCATTCGATGGTCGGTGGAACACTTCCGTTATTACCTATTAGGGCAGGAATTTACACTCATAACAGACCATGCGCCCTTGAAGTGGCTTAGTACGGCCAAAACCGATAACGCTCGCCTAATGAGATGGGCATTGGTGCTACAGCCCTTCAAATTTCATATTGAATATCATCCGGGGAAGGATAACGTAACTGCAGATTTCCTCTCTAGATGCAATGAGGCCTCAGATGTTGATGTGCCTGGCCGGAGTGGACAAAGTCATCAACGGGGCACAGATACCGGTGAAGCACGAACTCGGAAACCGCCACAAGGTAGCTGGTGGGGGGGGTTATGTCCCGGGACCCGCGGAAGCCAGGAAAACTTACCGGGAGGGCAGGATGCCGCGTGGGAGGGAGAGCCTGCGCAGCTCGTTAGCCGCGTCTATGTACAGCTGCAGCCGGCAGCTGACGGTGACGTCAGATGCCGGCCGGGAGATTTAAAAATGGCGGCTGCTGCTCCGGAGGCGGCGGAGGGAGAGAGGAAGGAACGGCAGGCAAGGCGGTTCCTGTCGTTAGCCCAGCTGGACAGGAGCTGCGGAGCCGAAGAGTGGGAGTGTCCGGTGGCCGGGAGAAGAGGCAGGATAGCTGGATCCCCAGCAAAGCGAGCCTGCGGCACCAGAGCAGGGGAACAACAGGGGATCAAGAGCACCCAGGAAGATCCCGAGCGGCATGAAGTAAGTGCTGTGGCAGAGGGCGCGGGAAGTGCTGAAGAGGAGGGTGAGGCTGAAGACACACTGGCCTGGAGAGAGAGTTCGGGGTGGGATCGCCGCCAAAAATAGAAGGCGTTGATTGAGGATTAAAGGGGACAGCACTGTACACTCAGCCAAGGGACGTCACTCCAGGGCAATATCATAAGGGCGCAGGTGGTAGGCCAGGGAGGTACTCCTGAAAGGGGGATCACTGGGGGGAAGCACATAGCTGAGGGTTCAGGTGACGAACCGGTGGTGGGAAGTATCCCGTGCTATAGAGCTGGGACACCTACACAGGTGAGGGAGGAGTCTGTGGGCACTGCGCTGGGTCGGTGCAGGGAGGTGAAGACCACAGGTGGCGTGAGGCCGGGGTGTAGGGGTGGCTGGAGCCCCGTGTGTAACCGACGAGGCCAACCCGGGACACTGAGGGACCGATGAGCTGGCTCCGCCCACTGGGATAACAGCAAAGTCGTGGCAGGTGAGAAGCGGGGTTGGTGCAGCAGGGAAGACAATTCAACTGCAGTAACACCAAAGCTCGGTGCAGAGGGTGGTCATCCGAACGGGGAGCTACACTACTAGTAGGGTTCTATGAAGGCCCGTCGGGGACAGATATACTTTGACTTTAGTGAGGCTTTTGATATGGTCTCCTACAACATTCTTGCAAGAAAATGAAGGAAGTGCAGGCTGGATGAATGGAGTGTTACGTGGATAGAAAACTGGCTGCATAATCACGCTCAAAGGGTAGTAATCAATGACTCGATGTCTAGTTGGCAGCTGGTATCAAGTGAAGTGCCCCAGAGGTCAGTCCTGGGGCCAGTTTTGTTCAATATCTTCAACAATGATTTGGAAGATGTCATAGAGTACACCCTCAGCAAGTTTGCAGATGACACCATGCTTGGGGGAAATAGTAGATATACTGGAGGGTAAAACAAAGATTCAGAGAGACCTAGACAAATTAGAGGATTAAACCAAAAGAAATCTCATGAGGTTCAATACAGAAAAATGCAAAGTCCTGCCATTAGGATAGAATGGTTCCATGCACAAGTACAGACTGGAACCAATTTGCTAAGCAGCAGCTCTACAGAAAAGTACCTGGGGGTTACAGTAGACAATAAACTGAATATGAGCCAACAGTGTGCCCTTGTTGTGAATAAAGCTAACAACATACTGGGCTGCATTAGTAGAAGTGTTGCCAGCATATTGAGGGAAGTGATTATTCCCCTCTATTCAATACTGGTGAGGCCACATCTGGAGTACTGTGTCCAGTTTTGGGCACCCTGCTATAGAAAGGTTGTGGACAAGTTTAAGAGAGGCCAGCAGAGGGCAACAAAAATGATTAGGGGGCTGGAGCACATGACTTATAAGGAAAGACTGAGGGAACTGGGCCTATTTAGTTTGGAGATGAGAAGACTGAGAAGTAGCCTTCAACTACCTGAAAGATGGTTCCAAAGAGGATAGAACTACATTGTTCTCAGTGGTGACAGATGACAGAACAAGGAGCAATGGTCTTAAGTTGCAGCAAGGGAAGTGTAGGTTAGATATTAGGGGAAAGTTTTTCTTGAGGACAGTAGTTAAGCACTGGAAGAGGTTACCCAGAGAGTTTATGGAATCTTCATTCTTGGTGGGTTTTAAGACCTGGTTAGACATCCATTGGCAATTCCTTGCAGTCAACGATGACTGTCTTCTATGATTGCTTTATCTGTAGGTCTGAAGATGGCTGATGAGGCCAATCCAGGATTGGAAGACTGTCTTGCAACTCAGGCACATGTTTCCATGTAGGTTGGGTGGCAGTGGATTCTTGATTCAGTTCACAGCACGCTGTTTCTACTGCTCCCACTTTTCCATCTTCTGTTGTCATGAGGTTTCAAAATACTAAGATTCTTGCAGAAGACTTCCTCCAGTTGAGCCAGTCCTGGGTGACTGTCTTTCACAAGTTGATGTCAACGTTACATTTTTTTCAACTTGGCTTTGAGGACATCCTTGAAGCACTTTATCTGCTCCCTTCTTGAGCGTATGCCTTGACTGAGCTGGTAAAATAAAACTTACTTTGAGAGTCTGGAGTCAAACATCTGGATGACATGGCTGGCCCAGCAAAATTGATAATAGATGATCATTGTTTCAATGCTTGTGTTGTTTGCTTGTGAGATGACACTAATATGTGTGCATTTATCTTCCAACTGAATTTGAAGGCTATTCCACAGGCAGCATTGGTAGTACTTCTGCAGTGATTTAAGGTGTCTCTTTTATGTTGTCCACATCTCAGCTCTGTACAGTAAGGTGGGGATCATGACCACTTGATAAACCATGAGCTTGGTTTTGGATCTGATGTCCTGACTTTCAAACACCCATTTCCTCAGGTGTCTGAATGCTACACGTACACTTTTAAGGTGCTGTTGGATTTCTTTTTTGATGCCAGCCTTCTGCGAGAGATGGCTTCTGACATATGGGAAATACTCAACGCTCTCCAGAGTCTCACTCTAAATCATCAGAGATGGAGACTGCTCATTAAGACTTTAGTCTTCTGAATGCTAAGCATCAGTCCCATTTTCCCTTGGTAAAGACATTGACAATTGCCTGAAGGTCTGTTTCCAAGTGCTCACTTGGCTAGACAAAGACTTGGCTGGGATGATATAGTTGGGGATGGTCCTGCTTTGAGTAGGGGGTTGGACTAGATGACCTCCTGCTGTCCCTTTCAACCCTCATTTTCTATGATTATATGATTCTTATTGAAAATCTTCAATAACGAAATCTGTAATCATATGTCTAGGAGATTCCACAATTTTCCTAGGCAGTTTGCCCATTGTCTTACAGTTTTAACAGCTAGGATGCTTTTCCTGAGATTTCATTTAAATCTGCTTTGCTGTAGTGTTAAGTCCATTGCCTCTTGTGCTATCCCCTATAGCAGGGAGGAAAAATTTTGTCTCCTCTATGTGGCAGCTATTCAAATATTTGAAAATTGCTATCTTGTCTCCCCTCTCCTCTCTTTCTCCCTTTCTCCAAACTAAACATATCCAGTTATTTCAACCTTTTCACCCATGGTTTGCATTCCAGCTTCTTTATAATCTTCATTGCTTGCCACTGGATCTTCTCCAGGTTCTCTACTTCTTTTTAAAATGCAGTTCCCAGAACTGAACACAGTACTACATCTGGGGCCTGACAAGGATTGAGTATAGTTGAGTAGAATGGAATCATTACCTCCAATATCTTGAATAAAATGCTTCTGTTAATTCAACCCAAGTTTATATTTATTTTCTTTATGGCCGCATCATACACTTTGGTCCCAGAAATGAAACACCAAACTCATTTGTTTACTTTCTGAATTGATTCCTGTCTTTGGATTATGTTAAAGATAGTGTTTTACCCTGGGAAAACAAGCTTGGGCCATCTATATAAAAAATCCTTTCATTTTCTTCTCTATGGAGAGGATACCATATTGTAGTAAAAGACCTGAACATGGAACCAGTCAGGGGTCGCTAAACTTAGGAAAGATGTCATCTAAGTTACTGGGTTATTGTGGAAAAGTATGAGGTTCCCTGAAATGAAATTTTTTAATTCAATTCCACTCTTAAAGTGATCTGTAAATGTGTCATTGTGAGACACCATGCTGTTTTATTGTTTTTCACACCAAATATGCTTGGCTTACAACTTCTAACTACATTTTTTTTCTGGAAATTCAATCTAGGATCTCAGAGAGGAGATTGGCTCTCTCTTTAACCAGTAATAAATGTTTTCACAGCCAAAGTATGCCCTCAGCAATACCTGTGCAAGCCCCTGGTTGTCATATTAAATCAAAACAAATTATAAAAGGATAAAAAAGCACTCACCAAACAAACTTGCTTGAAAGATGAGATCTATTAGGCATGTCAAGATCGAGGGCTGTCTGACAAATAGCAAAGACTTCAGAAAACAATGACGCTGGGACTACTACAGGTCATAGTTGTGAGTAGGGAGGTGAAGACGGAACAGTAGCAGCAATGAGACTGTAAATTCTTTATAGAAATTTTGTTCTGATCTTTTCCCTCGCACTGGCCTTATTCTACTTACTTTGGAGAAATTCTATGGCTAGGCCACTTTTCATGTATAAAAGATGGTTGGGTTAAAGGACTATAACAAGGAGCAGAATCATGTACATACACCTGAGTGCTTGAGAAGTCATTGGCTTTGAGAAGAGAATTGTAGCCCTATAATTCAAAATGTCCCTATTTTACTATCTTACATGATAAACCCAGGTTTGTGCACTTCATTCCTATACCAAACTTACTGGAATTTATTGCATATGTGTTTTCTCTTTCGCTATGAAGAATAAGTGTTACAGGCTCAGTTGTGCAGAAGTTACTATGGGTCCCTTTTTAATTTAATTGTTCTAGTCTTTCCCTTCATACTACCATCTCCTTCCACTGGCCCCATCTCCAAATAGTCCTGCTGCTTCCTTCTTGATTGCTCTTGCTTTTTTCTCTGCTCTGCTTTAATCTGTCACAGAGGGGACTTCTCTTATATTCTCTGCCAGCTCTGTCGTGACAGCATCTAAAGCAGTTTTCCTTATCTCACTAGCAATGTTTCTATGTCAGTTATGCTTTGACTACTACCAAAGCACCCCACCCAAATTGCTGTATTTAAACTGTTTTACTACTCCTTTTACTGGTTCTGCTTCTAATGCTGTTGGGTTGACTATTCAAGCAAAAGGGGATTGGCTGAATGTGCCACCTTATGGCTATACATGATGAACACCTTATATGAATTACCATCAAGTATGCATAGCAGCTTCAGCACCATAAGTAATGCATACACCATCATGGTTGTTAGTGTCTGCACAGTGAATATTTATTTCAAGAATGAAATTTGTCTGAACTTTTAACATTGCATTTAATAGGTTTTTAGTGATGCAAAACAGCATACAAGGAATAAGATGATATAGCCAACATGGTAGTGATTTTTCACACTGTTCACTTTCTGAAGTTCTGCTAACTCTAAAGGTTTTCAGCAGCAGCAACGTTTTTTTCCCCTTTGTTAGAACTTTTGTTCTGATCTTTTCACTTGCACTGGCCTAGCTGTATATATTTGAGAGAAATTCTGTGGCTGGGCCACTTCTCATTTCAAATTGAGGATGTTTCTTGTTACCAGTAAGGTTTTAAGTTTTAAACATAAAACAAAAGTTAAAAATGTTACGACTACAGGAAACAAAATTGTTGCAAGCTGCAGCTGGGCTAATACCTTTACAGAAAAATCTTCCATATTTAAACATAGAAACTTATTCCACTCATGGATTAATTTGTATCCTAATCCACAAATGTACTGTGCTGAATAGCTCTACTGCCCACATAAACTATGTAGAGACTAGGGTAAAGCCAGTAAAATATATTAGTTTAAAATGTTACTTCTTCCCTGCCTAATTATTATTATTGTTTTACCTTGGACTAAATAATGCAAAATGTCCTCTCTTAAATGCAACCTCAGCCATACTTAGATCCTAATATCTGTGTAGCTAATGTATAGATATGGCATAATGAAAATATTTAGGGGTTCAACTTCAAATGCCCTTCAAAGTCATTAGAAAGATTTTTATTTATCAGACCCCACACAGGCATCCATTTGCTGTTACTATAAAAAAGATTGTATTTTTTTCTCTTGTAGTCCAAGTAGTGCTATGGACTTACAAATAAGATCTGCCTTCAAATATTCTTGTGTGTCACTTGTGATCACTAAATACATATTGCTTGGAAACTCCACCAGAATTTCTCTTGATTATATGTGAGAAATTACTTACCTTACTATTTTAAACTAAGATTTTAGAGAAGCATTAGCTTTAAAATAAGGTTAAGGCAAATGTAAGGTTTAGTACTCTAATGTAAACACAAATGTTTTAAGTGGGCCAGTCTTGCTGTCCCTGTTCAGGAAAAACTATGATTTAAACCAATGGGACAAATTCAGTACTGGTGTATCATGTTACTCGTGTAACACTCAGCGTGGATGGATTTAGTTAGGGTGAAAAATGTCCCAGTTTGGCTGGGACAATCCCAGATTTTGTAGGCTGTCCCACCATCCCAGCTAGTTGACGACTAAAGCAAATGTCCCTGGATTGGTTGGAATCAGCCAGGGTGGGATGGGGGTAGGGTGGGAGAGTGCTGCTATGAGTGAGGGCTGCTTATATATATGTGTGTGTGTGTGTGTGTGGCATCCAGGGGAGTGGTGGGTGCAGACAGGGTGGCTCAGACCCCTTCCCTTAAGGGACCTGGGATCTCCCTCAGCTGCCGGTGGGGACCCATGTTTGGGGGAATGGCTCCAAGCTTGTGGCCCCGGCTGGGCATGCACTGGGCTTGCAGCGGGGGAGAGAACTGTAGGGGAATGGGATGCAGTCTGGCAAGGAAATGGAGGTGGAGTACCATAGTGCTCTAGATGGGTGGGCGGGCACCGCTGCTGCCCACCTGCCTTGTGCACCATGCCACTTTGCCTCTGTCTCCACCCACCTCTGCCTAGAGCAGCATTGCTGACTTGGGAGAGCAGGAAGGGGGTCAGTGTCCCAGATTTCCCGTGGTCCCATATGACACCCTTGATTTAGTTCACTGAAAATCTTGCCTGAGATGAACAGTGGGACCAATCCATTGCACATAAAGAGATGAAGAGTCAATTCAAGGCACTATTTTTTTTTCTGAAATTTATAATCTACTGGCTGTATTCTGGGAATTGGCAGCTCATGGAGGAGAAGAGAAAGGGGCACACAGTTGGCTGTAAATTATACTTGCCTTTTCCCATTCCAGAACTAGCAGACATCCGTGCAAGTTAGAGCAGTCTAGTACTGTCCTTTCACACACTCCACTACCTATTGTTCCCTTGGGTGCACTAACAGCTATAAATCAGTTGAAGTTTATTGCTCACTGGTCAAACTACATTTTGTCTTATATACATCCTATGTTGCAGATTGCTTATGCAATGGGTTACAAAGAGTTCACAAACCTGTGTTATGCAGGGATTCATCAAGGCTGGAGTCTCCAAAAAGCCAGTTAAGATGTCTTTGAAGTTACTTTGCAGCACAGAAGTGGCACAAAGCAACTCTAGTGGGAAGACCAGATTCTGACCCAAGAAATGTGTGTTTATAAAGCCTCTCAATGCTTGAATTGAAATGTTTCTCTCCCCATTGCTCACACAGTACTTTGCTTTAGGATTATGCATGAGGACTGTGCCAATGCCATTGCTCTTCCTTTTGGTTTGTTTGTTTTAAGAAATGGAGAGCATCCTTAACTATTTGTGTAAGGGAAAATATCCACCCAAAACAGCTAAAACTAATTACATGCATTTTGTAAACAGTTGTAGGCAACAAAGGGGGCAGCACGCTTACAATCTTGACAGTATCTCTCATTTGATTGTAATGTAAATTAGAAAATAGAAATAATATAGACTCTGATACAAATTTCCATTTTTGCTTTTCAAAAATCATCCAGAATTGGGTAAATGAAGTTGTCTTTGAACAAGCAGTATGCCAAAATCTCTCCTCCACAAATCATTGAAATTAAGCCAGCTCCTGAAAAGAAACATAAAAATATTTCATGTTAATTTTATAGCCGTATGCAAACATTACAACAGTATTTAAACCAATCCTACATCGAATAGAGACATAGAATAATAGTTTTTGTTACTCTCTTCTGTATAACACCAATGAAATGTAGCTAGGGATTTGGTTTGATTTATTTTTTCCCATTTTGAAAATGTTATTTTTTCTCTGCTAACACTGATAAGGTGTAAATAAGGATTTATTCTTAGAGCATAACAAGTATAAGACATTTAAAATGTTAGGCCATATCTACTTGACTGTGTTCTTTTGTATAAATTGAACTGGGTAGAGAGCAGCACATATACAAATGTTACCATCTCACTTGTATTTAGATGTTTGTTGGACTCACAAGACTACAATTTACTAAGGGGGTGATTTCTCAACTACAAATACTAAGTTGGTGCACAGTTCCAAGCAATTTAAAAAGTCAGTAATTCATACATACCTAATGCCAGCCACCAGTGCAACATCAGAGGGAATTCAGACATAACTGCAAGGTAAAAAAAGGTACACAGAAAACTTCTTGAAGATCATCTCACACGTGAAAAAAATAGTCATTTTTCTAAAATAACTGTTTCTAAAAAGGGAAAAAAGGAATTGGAAGGAATAACAGGGACATAAACTGAAGTGATGCTATAAAATGCTGTACAGGAAAAAATATACCCCAGCTCCCTAAAATGGGAGAATATCCTAAACTGAACTCAGAGCAGGATCAGCCATTTTAAGCCCTGTATCAGGAAATTCATAGAATCAGAGAAAATGAGGGTTGTAAGGGACCTGAGGAAGTCATCTAATCCAACCCCCTGCTCAAAGCAGGACCATCCCCTGCTGTATCATCCCAGCCAAGGCTTTGTCTAGCCAGGTCTTAAAAACCTCCAAGGATGGAGATTCCACATCCTTTTTGGATAATCTGTTCCAGTGCTTGACTACCCTCATGAGAAAGTTTTTCCTCATATCTACCCTAAACTTCCTCTGCTACAACTTGAGGCCATTGCTTCTTGTTCTGTCATCTGCCACCACTGAGAGCAGTCTATCCTCTTTGGAACTGCCCTTCAGGTAGTTGGAGGCTACCTCTCAGTCTTCTCTTCTCCAGACTAAATAAGCCCTGTTCCCTCCGTCTCTTATCATAAATCATGTTCCCCAGCTCCCTAACCATTTACATTGCTTTCTGCTGGAATGTCTCCAGCTTGTTCCCATCCTTTCTGCAGGGGGGACCCAACCTGGACACAATACTGTAGAAGTGGCCTCACCAGTGTTGAATAGAAGGGAATAATTATTTCCCTCAGTATGCTGGCAACATTCCTATTAATGCAGCCCAGTATGCCATTAGCTTTCTTCACAACAAGGTCACGTTGTGGGCTCATATTCAGCTTATTTTCCACTGTAACCTCCAGGTCCTTTTCTGCAGAGCTGCTACTTGTTCTAATATCTCTATTTATTTACCTTTCTTTCATGAGTAAGGCAGAAATTCCACACCTTGGATACTCAAAACAAAACAGGGAATAGGACCAGAAAGCATAGGAGGAACTGTCATGAAGCAGGATAATATAACATTGACTTAGGGTTAAATAGGCAGAAATAGGGTTAAAACATCTCTCCACCAA